AATGATTCTATTATTATTACGTTATAATATTATAATATTATTATATTAAAATTATTATATATAATATTATAATATAATATAATAATATTATATATAATAATTTTAGACATAAAATATTATACAATATTATTCTATTATAATATAATAGAATAGATTATATATAATATATAATTCTAAATACTATTATAAATCCATTTACTAATTCGGATTGCTGCCGAATGCGAATTAGATCATTTATTACGCGTGAAATAAACATTAACGTCGAGCATCGACGAATCAGAGTTTCGGGCGATTTTAATGTTCTACAACAAAGAGATTCTGCGCTGTCACTATCTTTTCCCATCAATTTCCTCGGTACGACGCGATATCTGCCGAATGACAATGCAATTGCTCGCCCATCGGCGGGCGATTATTCTTTTGTGCCCGTGGAGCTAGTAAATTATTATATGTTGCCAGTTGAGAGACGATTATGGTGTTCGTAGAATCGTTCGACGACGGTTTCTACTACAATGATTTTAACGGACAATTGAAAACAAACGAGCCTACGGACGCTCGCGATAGCGAGTGTTATCTGTTGAGATTAATCCGATTCTTTTGGCGCGATTATTCCATTCTTTAGAATGGACAATAGGAGTGCAGAAAATTTAAAGAATGCACTGGTCTCCCTAATTTAACCTCGGAAATAATCATTCTTTACGGATGACGATCTGTTCTCTGTTTATACATATATTTTTAAATTATTATTGAATAATCATAAGTAAGTATAAATAATAGAAAATATTAGAGATAAATAGGTACTTTTAGTTTGTCGTTTTTTTATTATATACTTTATATATTTTTTATATAATATATTTATATATATAATAATATTTTTTATATATATTCAATTTAATATAAAATATATGACATATAATATTATATAATTATAATGATTAACCTTCTAATATTATATTTAATATAATAATAATAATATATAATAATAATATAATAATCTATAATAATATAATTATATAAAATATTCTACATTCTATATTTTATATATAATATATATACATATATTTAAATTTAAACATATAAAAATTAAATAGATATAAAAAAATATATATAAAGTATATAATTTTAAAAAATGACAAATAATCGTATCTCCTCGAATTGTCGATTTTCGTTTCCAAGCATAGGGTCAATCGGGGAGAATTTTCCGTATTCAGAAAATTCAGCGAAATTAAAGGAAAACCCAGGGAAAAATAAAGAAAAATAAAGGCGAAAAGTGCCACGCAGGAATGTTGTTCCACTTTTTAATACGTTCGTGACCTTTTTCCGAGACGATCGAGCGATCAATTATCCAATGCCGCATACCGAACGCAGCGCGGACTCATAATAAGTTCGAATAATTATGAGGAACGAACGATTCATAGTACAAGCCGGTGTCGCTTTCAACAATGTTTACACACGGTCGAATTACGTAAAAACATTATTAGAACCGATTCAACGTGTGCCTGGACTGCGCGGATAGTCCTCTGGTATAAATAGCGTGGACGGATCGTTACCTGTTCAGTCGAAAGTGTTGCGCACACAGAGCGAAAATCGTCGTCTCGCGTATCGCGACTTTTAATAATAGTTTATTCAATAAATCTTCGGTGTGACGTCGATAATGAAGCTCGCCGCCATTTTATTGTGCGCTTTGTGCGTTCTGTCGTACAAGGTACTATGTCGCGCCGTACTTATTTTCAAAGTGCAAGGGACAAGGGATAAGGGATAACTTATATTATTATATTTTCATTATATTATTTTTTATATTTATTATTATTATATTATTTATTACATTTCATTTATATTATAATATATATTATAATTTTTATTCTAAAGGACAAAGCTTCGATGACGTTTGCGAGAAAATTAAATACAGGCAAATTTTGGTTATCTCAATCATTTCGATAAGCTGACAGCGGCGCGATCAAATTATTAAATTCTAGTTATATTATATCTCTCTCGAACGATTCTTCAAGATTTAACAGTTCCCAAACAATTTTGCTATTTCAGCCGATTATCCATAGAAAATACAAATGATTTAAAATATTATTTTGTGCTTATTATTAGCGATTACAAATTATAGAAATTAATTACGATCACTGATTTATTATAAACTATGACTGTTACTATTACCATTACAGTTACTATGATTACATTAAATAATATAATAGATTACAGAAGTCGATTACATATATATTTAATCATTATATTATGACTATATTATATATATTATATAATCATATTATAATATTATTTTTATATATATATAATTATAATTTTTTATATTTAATAGTTTTGTATAGTTTAATATAGATTTTCTGGTTTTTCGCACATAAAAGGAGAGTTCTTATATCAGAGTAAACTTATCGACTACTTGAACAATTTTATGCAGTTTTCTAATCGGTGTCGAATCTACTAATATCTGTACGTAATCTAAGACAATGTAGCACGTATCTGATAGAATTATAAACAAGCTCTAAGACTTGTTAGTCGTAGAGATCGAACATAA